AAATTAGTCGAATTAAATCTTATAGTGCAAATAAACTCTCAAAGCTAACTGATAAACAAATTGATGTAATTATAAACTATTATACTACCAAAATACTAGTGCGTGACCAAAAGTTTCGCACTTACATGACAGAATCTACTCTAAAATCCAGATTTAATCCGAGTAATAACAAAAATCACATGACCAAACTATCTAGCTTGAAAGATGTATCAAATATTAAGGCAAGTATATCTGCTAAATCATCTCATGCCTCTAGTTCAGAAGATATAATAAGTGAGGATAACAAATCTTCATTGAATACTAATAACAATAACTATATTCTACAGGATAATATTTTACTGGAAACAAATCCAAAGGATTTAACTGAGGTGAGTATATTGCTTGAAAAGGTTTCATCAGAAACAGAGGTATGCATATTACCTATAAACAAAAATGCATCTTTCAATTCTTATCTTCTAATTTCTATCTTATCTGATAATTCAGAAGAAAGACAAAATCTTGTTATTTATACCATATTGGAGCAATTCAATAATTTATCACTTAAATATAGCAATAAATATAGCGATTATTATGTTAATTCAGGAATATGTCTAGCATATAATGAAGAGCATAAAGGAGATGGTGTAGAAGGTTAGTAGGGTGATAGAAATTATTGTAGCAAAAACACGTATCATCTCTATTGTTGTAAGAAATCCTTTAGTGGAATTCTTATAGTAAATGTGAAAGTGTAAGACAAAAAGAAATTAACTAGATATTAATAATATATGATCACGTAAAAATGACAAGCCTTTCTTTATTTAATAAAAATTGTTACCAGAACAACAATACCAATAAAAAATATATCACTATTACAGGTGCTAATAAAATAAAAAAAAATTCTATTATCTAACAGGAGAGTAACAATTCTACGATAATATAAACAACATCTTGATTAGGATTCATAGAGAAATAGTCATAGATATTACTATTCAGATTCATAATTGCGAAGTAGTCCCCAACTGTAGAAAAATATCTATGAAGCTAAAAATTAGCATTAGTTAATCTATCTGGTAGGCTAGCTCAAACTTGAGGTATTAAACTTTTTCTAACTTTATCTTCATTAAAAATATTAAATGTATGAGTATAATGTTGATAACCACTAATCGAAAAGTAATAGTTAAGATCAATATTAATATAGTTATTATCACCCATTTTGCATTCCTAAATGTAAAAATATATAATGATAATGAGTAAGTAGTAAGGCCTATAATTTCCTCACACCTAAATAATAAAACTTGCAGAAGTATAATAAATATTACCTCAAAAATAAAATTTGAATATATAAGCCTTTTTCAATAAAAAAAAAAAGTAGGAGCAAATATAATACTAACTCATCTTAAAGATTAGAACTGCTTATTTATATACCTTTCATTATCTAAACCTAACTACAAAATAGCTGAGAAGAAAGAACCTGCTAGAAAGAAAATACACGAATAGTAATTACGTTATCCAAACTTAGTGCTAGTTTTTTCTCTATAAAGCAACTCCACTCAGTCATAAGTTCCAAACACTGATCTATTTTGTCATTTTTTCTGATAAATTAACCTCTTAGATTTGACGATCACTTAAGGTGGGTTTAGATCTAATGATCTGGGAATTCCAAGTTCCTGCAACATATGAATTTGGATCAAACTATTAATTAAGAATATTATATGTATTACCCTTATAACCTTTTTAAGTCCTATTTTTGTCGCAGGATCTTATATAATAAGAAATGGTCTAGATATAATTTATAATATTTGTTATAAATCAAAAATCAACTGTGAGAAATGATTCTGTAGGAAAGTGTTACAAAACCTTATATATAATTTTGTATGACTTGTTACTATATCTTATTTCTGTACTTACACTAATATTAATAAAAATTTTTCTACAACAACTCTTACTATATCAATATTACAGTATTAATGGTAAACTACTATTAAGCCACTGTTGAAGTACTGTTCGAAATAAGCAAAATACTGTATTAAGATCTATTCTAAATTTGTATATACTGACAAATATTTATTGAATTTCGAATATTCAGTTTAAAAAAACCGTGATTGAATTTTTGTGTACTTATATTATATGTACAAAAATAAAACACATATATGCTCACAGATATCAATGTATTAGAAAAAGATATTGTATAGCTTATCGTTATTTATTCTAATACAAATTAATTTGAATCTCTGATATCAGATTATATTATGTATAGTGAATTATTTAACTTATACTGTATACTGTATGTGAATCGAATTAAAAGTCAGAACAAAGTTTAAATAATATTTCATTTTTATATTGAACGAAATTTAAATGCAATATGACACCTCTAGCAAGTTCACGTGAGAAGAAAGATGAAAAGGGGTTACCTGCTTTACCATAAAATATATTCATATATAATTTTACTACCTTTTGCTTTGAATTTAAGCAGTTGTAATTGAAACAGATAGTATTGTATTCCACTACGAAATCGCTATAGGAATATTCAACAAAAGGAATTAAGGTTTCGGCTCTATAAGCTCACTCTTCTTCATCATCTTTTGTATTTTCTAGGATATAATCAATAGTACCTGTTAATGATAAATTCTTTTCTTTTATTTTATTTTTTATCGATTCCATATAGTCTAGCTTCTTTTTGAGAACTTCTAGTTGAGCTTTTATTTTATTTTATTTATTAAACAGTTCTACTAAAACTGATGGATATAGCCCTATTTTATTATTTTTATTTCCATGTCTTATAGACCAAGTATGTAAAATTCAGCTGTTAAAAAAGAACTCGATTTTATGAAAACATTCGCTTGCTTTTTCTAATACAACTGCTTCTTTAAACAATAATGTTATTATTTCAGGTGAGAGGTTATAGGTTATAATAAGACTTGGGTATAAAGATACAAAATCCAATTCTATAACAGGTCGTTCATTTTCAAGACCCTTTATAGGTAGAAATACATAAACACTCAGATATTTACAAGATTCTATTTGTTTAGAAGTGATCATAGTAATCAATATATCTCTTTTCATACTTCAGCACCTAAAAGATTACATACCTTCATATCCCTAGTATAGTAATGTAAATTGAATAAAGAAATATATGCAATTGAAGCTACCTCTCTGTAATCAATTATTACGTTTCTCTTAACTATAAGCCTTTGACAACTAAGAGAATCTACAATACAATAGTTGGCAATCTTACGCATATTTTTAGCAGTCTCGAGTGAGATATTTTTCTTGCTTTGTATATAATATTCCTTCATAACTTTTATTAGTAAACCTATTTTACTATCAAGACCATGTATTTCTAAAAAATAGTTAAATGATTTATTCTTAGATTTTGAATAAAGTTTTTTACAACATACTAGTACATCAATCAAGACACAACTAGGAACTTTGAGAAAAGTGGATTTGAAATTTTCTTTTGAGGTGATTTTGATCTCAACTCCTTCCTGATTCTTTATCTTTTTACTAGCCTTGTTTTCTTTTCTCGAAGAATTTCTCTATGTTTGTTCTTTATGAAAGAAATCTTTATAGAAAGATTCGCCTACTTCTCCATAGTAATTCCAATGGAGTATAGAATCAATTGTAGCCTTTTTACATGGATTTGCTGACATTTTTGATAACATCCAATTGAGAATTTTCAGCTAGATAGCTCTTTCTACTATGAATGGCCAATTATACTTGGAACCATTAAAAGTAAGTTCGATATTAGGAGCTAGAGTTCTCCAATATAAAGCAAATGCTTTTAATAGATTTATTTCATTCCTACAAATAATAATGATCTAATTTGGATCTGGTACTATTTCTATGTCAACAAGGCAAATTTGTTTTAATGGAGAGGAGTCATCTTTCCAGTAGACAGTTATACAAATCATAAATATGTTATCCTTTTTATATCTTGCATATAGGAAATGGTCTAACCCAAGTGTTGAATATGTTTCGATATCCCAAGCAAGGACTAATGCTCAGTCATGAGTAAAAAGTTGAGAAGGATAAGTCTTATTTAATAATGTGGGATCCTCTATATAGTGAAAATTATTAATAGATACATAAAAAGCATGTTTACAAAGTGAGGAGTAGGCACTATAAGGCATTCCACCATTATTATGTTCATAATTAGTTAATAAACCTCAGTCAGAAAGTGGTATCCTATATTCTCGAGCAACTTTTCAATAATATGCATTGTATCATTTGAGGCAGCTTCCAGTGTATACCCCTACTTTGCTTCTTCAATTTCTGAATTATATTTTAGGATAATATCAAGAGCAATTTTTCTTTGTTTAGAAGTAGTTGTAATAATGCGTAGATATGTCTTTTTTTCTGGTTGATAATCCTTAATCAGAAAGGCCTCCACATATTCTATTCAGACTTGACTCATATCTACAATTTCCCTGTTATTATTTTTTCCTTTAGCGAGAATATCTCTTATCTTAAACTCAAATAACTTTGTTTCCTCATTATTGGGAATGCGAATATCGAAGAAAACTTTTATGCCAAAAATTGTTACTATGGCTTTTTGACCATTGACAAGATAACCATATATACGTAAAACATAATATAGAATATTATTTATATATTCATTATATTCTTTAATATCAATTAGCATAAAAGGTATATCTTCTCTTTTGACTAAAGCCTGTTTAATAGTTGCTGTTAATCTATAGTCATTAATTTCTGTAATTATTATATTATAGCTCAGATGAGTTAGTAAATAATCTTCTCCTTTGTAGTAAAATACCTGGCTTTTCTCCTTACTTTCTGAAATCTGTAATTGAAGAAAAGCTTTGGCTCCCTGGTGGTAGAAGGCCCCATTATTTTCTTCTGGCTCAAAATTTTCTGAGTATTCTGGGCTCTCTGGTCGAGAAGGTAGTATCTCCATCTCTGCTGATACATGATTAATAGTTTCTTAAAAATTTTGGGTATCTATAATATGTTTTATTTTGAAACTATAATAGTAGTTAGAGAAAAGTTCAAAATAAAAATTAATTATTTTAGGTAATTAGTGTTAGGCATATAATATATACGTTATCAAAGAATTTAACATAAATATAGAATTTTACTGTTGTCTTTATATCCTTAGAAGTAAGGAAGTATGCAATCAGGGTTGTTATCATCCTGATGGGTGTTGTGTTTACCAGAATTTACCACAAATTCCTTGCAAAGTATATGGCTGTGTTAAGTTTACTTCTTTGAAATATAGTGCATATAGAACTCATAATAGTAAGTATCGATCTCAAGATTATTATTAGTGAAAGAAGTTGGAGAAGATAGCACAAAACAAATCTGAGGTAAAAGAATCTTAGTAATTAGTGTACAATATATACCTATTAATTGGAGGTTACATCCAAGTTTTTTTCTAGGATAAGAATTAGAACAGAAAAAATATATAGTAATAACTGATACAAGTTGACATGAGTTCATCTTAAATAAAAAAATTAGTAGAAAGATAGGTTTTTGGAAGTCTAAGTTTGAAAAAAACTGTTCTCGATAACTATCACAAATTGCCACAAGTTTGTCTTAGGTAAAAAAATTGATAGAAAGATAGGTTCTTAGAAGTCTGAGTTTAAAAAAAACTGTTCTCAATAACTGTTACAGCTGTTACAAGTTTCTTAGAAAAATTTTTTTAACTATAGCTTTTTACTTTTTTTCTATAAGTGTATCATATATATATTAAGAGCAGGTATATATGTATATATACCATAGGTAAGTATATATATTATAAGGATTGAATATATTATATATATACATATATATTAGGTATATATATATATGCTGGATATATGTGACAGGTATATATCAAAGGTATACCATGGGAAAGAGTTTTTTTTTTTCTTTTAGAATTTTACCATTTTACTTAAGTAACTTGTGACAGATATAAAGAAGTAATCAAAAGAGAAACGAAAAGGCTCAAAACTTTCAAACAGGTGTT